TATATATATATATATATACAAATGTTTAGTATAGATTATTGTGTATGGGTAAAGCTGGGCTATTTTTTCCTCAAAATATGTTTTGAAATTGTTTCATAAAATAATTTCAGAAGAAAAAGTTCAATTAAATGAGCTCATAAGAATTTGAAAAAAAGGGCTAGTTTTATTGTAGCCTTTCTATGACGTTACTGGCTAAGCAAAGGCAATTTTTTTGGTTGAGAGTTATGTGTATCAAGAGGGTTTTATTGGGTTATTTGTTAAATGTTGTAGCCCCTATTTAAACACATACTTTGAATGAAATACCTAATTTTTGGCTTATTTCTTTCTTCTTGGTATCATAACCAAACCCTAGTCGTCTCTACCTTTCTCTCTTCCAAACCCTAGCCGACCACCCAATCCTAGCCGCCATTTTTGGCCACTGCCCTCTAGGTTGCCACCACCGTCTGTTCAGGCTGCCACAACCATCTGTCCAGAATGCCTCCACAGCTTCATTTCTAGGTCTCCGTCGCAGCACCTCTTGCAGTCCTTCCGCCGCACGAATATATGACATATATCGAAATCGAGTGTAAAGGAGGAAGGGAAATGTTTGTGGTGTGTATTCATTGCATTTGCTTGGAGCATTCATTGCATCTTTGGACTATATCTCTATACCTAACTGTTGGGACGTTGCTAAAGAGGATCCTAAGTTGAAAGTGGCGATGCATTAAGAGCTTGAAGCTCTTGATAAAAATTGAACATGTGAGATTGTACCACTACCAGTAGAGAAGAAGACAATAGATGCAAGTGAATAGTCATGGTAAAGCAAACTCCAGAATGGAATACAGAGAGACACAAAGCATGAGCAGTGGAAAAAGGTTACATTTAGACACATGACATTGACTACGATGGAACTTTTCCACCAACAGCAAAGATGGCACGATGATCACACTGGCTTCTCTAACAGTGAATGGTGGATGGAGACTCCACTAACTGGATATAAAGAATGCTTTTGATACTTTTGTGATTATGAATAGAAAGGTATATATGGAGATACCAGCAGAATTCAGTACATCCTAGACAGTGGGCAAGGTGTGTAGGGACATGAAGTCAATGATGGCATGAAGTATTCTTCTTATGCCTTGTTTGACAAGTTTAGAATTATAATAGTTGGCATGAGATATCGGTATCAATGCATTCCGCAAGGTATTCTTTCGACAACATGAAGGGAACACTATCATTTTGTTGTGTATATGGATGAAATAATTGTCATTGGTGATGATGAGGCAAAGACTGCCCAACTAGAGGGAAGAATGGGAAGACATGTTAGGTAGAGGATTTGAGATAACTCAGATACTTTCTTGGGATTAAAGTAGCTCATGGACCTGAGGGGATGGTTCTATCCTAGAGAAAGTACGTATTGGATATTCTCACGAAGACATGTATGCGAGAGTGTAAACCTGTCATCTCTCTAATTGATCAGAATGTCAAGGTCAGTATAGAGGTAGGTGAATCAATTGAACATGGGAGGTATCAGAAGCTAGTGAGCTGCCTAATTTATTTGTGTCACACTCGATCTGATATTTCTTTTGTAGTAAGTGTGGTGAGCCACTACATGCAGTATCCAAAGAAGGGTCATATGGATGCAACATATCAGATTTTGTGATATCTGAAGAGTGCACCAGATAAATGGTTGATATCCAGAAAGAATGGGCAAGTAGATATTGAGGGCTTTTGTGATTCGGACTGAGCAAGTTGTGTCAATGACAGATGGTCTATATCAGGATACTACATGTTTGTAGATGATAACTTGGTCTCACGGAAGAGCAAGAAATTGCCAGTTGTATCAAGATCAACAATAGAAATAGAATACATAGCCATGACATTAGGATTTGTGGAGATAATGTGGTTGAAAGCCTTGTTAGTTGAACTCAAAGTTGATCATGGAACTCAAACGAAGTTGTGGTGTGACAATAAGTTGGCAATCAACATTGCTAACTACCCGGTGCAACACAATAAAACTAAACATGTGGAGGTTAGTATATTCTTCATCAAGGAGAAGCTGAATAATAGAGTGTTGAAACAAAGTCATGTAGCTACTAGAGAGCAGGTGGCAGACTGCCTCGCTAAAGTACTTAGTGCAGTGAAGTTAGCTATATTTTGTGGCAAGATGGGCTTAGTGAATATCTTTTTCCCATCTTGAGGGAGAGTGTTAAAAGTTGTGTAATAAGAGGGTTTTGTTGGGTTTATTTTCTTAAATATTGTAAACGCTATTTAAAACACATATGTTGAATGAAATACCTAATTTTTGGCTTATTTCTTCCTTCTTTTTTTATTAGTTGGAGTGAGATTTGTAATATAGAGATTTATAAGTTAATAAAAGTGTTACGGTTTGATAATTATATTTTGGGTGTTTATATGCTAACAGTAACGTCCAAACAAAAAACTATTAACCGCCAAAACCAAAGAATTACAATTGTCGAAGAATCCGACATTGGAAGCATGATTTTTCGTCGATCATTATGCAATTATCCCAAAAACAAAATAATAATAATACTTGTCAAATAAATTTTAAAAATAACTTTTTAAGATTTATATAATTATGATAGAGAACACTAATTATGATAGAGAACACGGAGATACATATTAAACCAAACAAGAATGATAAATAATTTTTTATTATAATTACTTCCTACATATTTTTTCTAAGCAATTTATTTATTGTGCTCATGGAAATGGAATAATAAGTTAAATGTTTCCGAGATGAGAATGATTAGGTGGATGAGTG